CCCCAAAACCCCAAAACCCCTCAAGAATTTAATTCATTTCATTTTGTTTTAATTTAGTAGAATCATTAAATAATATATTTAAAGGTAGTAAATATATTAATAAAATATTAAAATGGAGAAATACGTTGCTCTTTCTGTGAAGCCACTGTGGGATAAATATAAATTTGAAGAAAATATTGATTCGGGAGCATTCGGTTCTGTTATGAAAGTAATGAATACTGAAGATAAAAAATTTTACGCAATGAAAGTTTAAAATCTAAAAAATCTAATGACTAGAGTGCCTAAAAATTACAGCAATGAGATGGTTCGTATCATCCGCGAAATAAACACATTCAAACTTAGTCATTAAAATATTACAAAATTCTATGAGTCTTACTTCACCGATTAAGATCAATTTGCAATTGTTACAGAACTTGCAGAGTCAAATCTCTATATATTCAGAGAAAACACAACTTTAACGAATGCTGAGATCGTCAATATAATGATCTAAATAATGAAAGGTACAATTCATCTACACAAGCAAAATATCATGCACAGAGATCTAAGTCCTGAGAACATTTTAGTCTTTGAAAACGGCAAAAAGTTTAAAATCTGCGATTTCGGAATGGCACAGCTAATATCAAAGTCTAATTCATTTGTGGGAAAACACTATTTCAAAGCTCCAGAAATAGCATAAAATGAGGAATTCACCTACAATAGTTAAGTTGATGTGTGGTCTCTTGGAGTAATACTCTACTACCTTTGCACTAAATAGTATGAATACCAGAGTAAGACAATAACTGATTTAAAGCACCTAGATAATACAAAACTAATTAGCCTTGAAGGAGAATAAAAAGTATTCGAGTAGATTATAAACAAAATGCTTCAGTATAATCCTTCATTGAGAATAAATGCTTAGTAAGTACTGTGTGAACTTTGTAGTCTTAATAATGAATCTCTAATTAAGCATTGGGAATAAGAAGAAGAAAAGTAAAGTGATAATAACCTTACTACTGATGATAGTCGTAGTGCTTTCGCTATTACTATTTAATCTAATGATGCTGTTGTTAATGAAATTATATCAAAACTCAGAGATTTTAACTATTAAGCTCTTGATAGCATTCATCCTAACCAGAACAGAATCTTCATGCCCCTTATAAAATATACTGATGGTGCTTAATATCAAGGTGAATATGATTAAGTGACGTAATAGGCAGATGGTAGAGGAAGATTCATTTGGAGTAGTGGAGCAATATATGATGGATTATGGAAAAATAATTTGAGAGATGGTTATGGATGATAAATACTTGATCAGGGAGATTACTATATAGGTGAGTTTATTGATGGTAAGAGGACTGGGAAAGGAAAATATGTTTGGAAAAACGGAGATTTTTATGATGGGTAATTTATAAATAGTAAAAGATAAGGATTAGGATTGATTAAATATATTAATGGTGATTAATATTATGGGTAATGGGACAATAATGAATGCAATGGTGTAGGGGTATAAATATTCAAAAATGGAAATATTGAACTTGGATAATATGTAATTAACTTAAAACATGGAATTTAGATGTTTATACCAAAGAATGAAGAGCAGATAGAGATTAGAAAATATGAGAATGGCAAGATATTATAGACATTTCTCAAATTAGAGAATAATTAGCTGAACAAGATCTTGATAAATATGTTAAACTTCGATTTGATCAAAGGAATTATCTCACATGCTAAGAAGTTTCAATGATCTTTTTATAAATTCTTAATGCTCTAGAGTACATTCATGATAAAAGCTTCATTCATAGAGATATCTCTCCTTAAAATATCCTTGTTTTCGAAGATTTAAGTATCAAGATTTGTGATTTTGGATTCGCATCTCACGGCTAATATACACAAGCAAATGTAGGAAAATAAGAATATATCGCTCCTGAAGTTTCTCATTTTGAAGGCAAAAACTATAACAATTCTATTGATATATGGTCCCTGGGAATATTGCTTTATTACCTTTGTAGCGGATAAACAAAAAGCAAAGGAATATATGTTAATGATCTAGCTAAAGAAAAAAAACATATTGACTTGCCTGAAAAATATTCATAATTTCAGGTGATCTTTGATTAGATGCTAGATTTTGAACCTGAAAATAGACCAACAGCCACTAAAGTTAAAGATGACATCATGAAACTTATAGATTAGGGTGATTTGGCCTTTTAATAATACTAATAAGAGCTATAGGCTTACTAACTGAAAAATCAAGAAATAAAAATTATAAAATAAGAGGAGGAACTAGAAAAATAACTTTAAAAATATTTCAACAAAGATAGTATTTAATGCAATAAGGCTTCATAAATTTCTATGTAAAACATATATTAATCGTTAGAGAAATAAGCAAGTATGGTTAGATCACACTTAGAAATAAATGATTACAAAAAGTTTTACTTGAAAGAGGAAGAAAAGGAATTCAAAAGTTCAATCTTCCATTAAATCCAAAATATTAGTATGAGTACAAACCCAAATATTAAACCAAAAATTACTCTAAAAAATGTTATGAACACTTAAATAACAAAATTGAAAAAAAAGAAAAAGTTTTTTTCAAACGAAAACCTGAAAACTAATATTTTAGTTGGTTTCTCAATGCTTTTGGTAATTTTATCCTCCTGTGTTAATCCTTACTTAACTAGCAGATCCCCTGTGATAGTAAATGATTAAAGATCCGATAAAGAAATAGACATTTTTAACTTGACAATAAAATCGTAGAGTGTTAATGTTAGTAGCATAATAGAAAAAATTGGAGAGTTTAATTACGGATCTATTGATAAAATTCATCCGAATGCAAATAGGATCTTCGAAAATTTAATTTAAAATGAAGATTTAAGTATATATCAAGGTGAATACGATAATTAAACTAAGAAAAGAGATGGAAGAGGAAGATATATTTACAGTAATGGGGATATTTATGATGGATTATGGAAGAACAATTTAAGAGATGGATACGGGAGACTTTTATAGAATGATAGAAACTACTACATTGGTGAGTGGAAAGATGACAAATTTCATGGATTTGGAAAATATTATCACAATAATTGGTGAGTGGAAAGATGACAAATTTCATGGATTTGGAAAATATTATCACAATAATGGATATACTTATGAGGGATAATTTATAAATAAGAATAAGGAAGGTTTGGGACTTTAAATCTATAAAACTGTTCAATATTATGGGCAGTATTAGAAAAATAGAAAATAAGGTGTAGGTATATACAATAATAACAACGGAGATATTTATCTTGGATAATTCAACAATAATTAAATGCATTCAATGCAGATGCTAATTCCAAAAGATGGAAGCTAAATTTAACTACAGAGATTTGAAAATGGCAAGTTAATAGAAACAATTATTAAAGTAAACACTACTTTAACTTAGAAAAATATTTGATTAATCATTATTATTGATTTAAAACGTTAATTATTATAATTTCAAATGATAAATACGTTGGGGTTTTGGGGTTTTGGGGTTTTGGGGGTTTAGAAATTAATTGAATCTTTAAAGTCGTAAAGTTTTCAAATAATTAAGGATTAGTGTTTAATAATTTAAGAATATCTATAAGATGGAGCAAATAATGTCTCTAAAAATTAAGGATATCTAGTAAAGATATAGGAAGAGTAATATACTAGGTCGAGGAGGCTAAGGAAACGTCATAAAGTATGAAGATCTTGAACAAAATCTAAAATCAGTGGCAATAAAGATACAAAGCTTAGATGGAATGCTTGATTTGATCAAGAGCTCTATCATAAAGCAGCATGTATGCACTTGGTGTTAATAACGAGATCGGTGTGACCATTGTAAAAAATGCTAATCTAACTAACATAATTCGCAGTCAGTGCCATTGAATGACTAAAAATTCAAGGAATAAGTGGCTGAATCTAAACAGATTTTAACTGAGGAAATACTTCGAATGCTTAGAGAAATTTCAACTGTTCAGCTTAAGCATCTGAATATAGTCGAAATATATGACTCTTTTCTCTCAACTGAAAGCTAATTCATCACCATAAGTGAATTAGCTGAACAAGATCTTGATAAATATGTTAAACTTCGATTTGATCAAAGGAATTATCTCACATGCTAAGAAGTTTCAATGATCTTTTTATAAATTCTTAATGCTCTAGAGTACATTCATGATAAAAGCTTCATTCATAGAGATATCTCTCCTTAAAATATCCTTGTTTTCGAAGATTTAAGTATCAAGATTTGTGATTTTGGATTCGCATCTCACGGCTAATATACACAAGCAAATGTAGGAAAATAAGAATATATCGCTCCTGAAGTTTCTCATTTTGAAGGCAAAAACTATAACAATTCTATTGATATATGGTCCCTGGGAATATTGCTTTATTACCTTTGTAGCGGATAAACAAAAAGCAAAGGAATATATGTTAATGATCTAGCTAAAGAAAAAAAACATATTGACTTGCCTGAAAAATATTCATAATTTCAGGTGATCTTTGATTAGATGCTAGATTTTGAACCTGAAAATAGACCAACAGCCACTAAAGTTAAAGATGACATCATGAAACTTATAGATTAGGGTGATTTGGCCTTTTAATAATACTAATAAGAGCTATAGGCTTACTAACTGAAAAATCAAGAAATAAAAATTATAAAATAAGAGGAGGAACTAGAAAAATAACTTTAAAAATATTTCAACAAAGATAGTATTTAATGCAATAAGGCTTCATAAATTTCTATGTAAAACATATATTAATCGTTAGAGAAATAAGCAAGTATGGTTAGATCACACTTAGAAATAAATGATTACAAAAAGTTTTACTTGAAAGAGGAAGAAAAGGAATTCAAAAGTTCAATCTTCCATTAAATCCAAAATATTAGTATGAGTACAAACCCAAATATTAAACCAAAAATTACTCTAAAAAATGTTATGAACACTTAAATAACAAAATTGAAAAAAAAGAAAAAGTTTTTTTCAAACGAAAACCTGAAAACTAATATTTTAGTTGGTTTCTCAATGCTTTTGGTAATTTTATCCTCCTGTGTTAATCCTTACTTAACTAGCAGATCCCCTGTGATAGTAAATGATTAAAGATCCGATAAAGAAATAGACATTTTTAACTTGACAATAAAATCGTAGAGTGTTAATGTTAGTAGCATAATAGAAAAAATTGGAGAGTTTAATTACGGATCTATTGATAAAATTCATCCGAATGCAAATAGGATCTTCGAAAATTTAATTTAAAATGAAGATTTAAGTATATATCAAGGTGAATACGATAATTAAACTAAGAAAAGAGATGGAAGAGGAAGATATATTTACAGTAATGGGGATATTTATGATGGATTATGGAAGAACAATTTAAGAGATGGATACGGGAGACTTTTATAGAATGATAGAAACTACTACATTGGTGAGTGGAAAGATGACAAATTTCATGGATTTGGAAAATATTATCACAATAATGGATATACTTATGAGGGATAATTTATAAATAAGAATAAGGAAGGTTTGGGACTTTAAATCTATAAAACTGTTCAATATTATGGGCAGTATTAGAAAAATAGAAAATAAGGTGTAGGTATATACAACAATAACAACGGAGATATTTATCTTGGATAATTCAACAATAATTAAATGCATTCAATGCAGATGCTAATTCCAAAAGATGGAAGCTAAATTTAACTACAGAGATTTGAAAATGGCAAGTTAATAGAAACAATTATTAAAGTAAACACTACTTTAACTTAGAAAAATATTTGATTAATCATTATTATTGATTTAAAACGTTAATTATTATAATTTCAAATGATAAATACGTTGGGGTTTTGGGGTTTTGGGGTTTTGGCC